CCCCAAAACCCCAAAACCCCAAAACCCCAAAACCCCAAAACCCCTTAGTAATTCTCTCTGATTGAATTACTGAGGTCCGAATTTTTCTGAATATCTATCACTAAATGGTGCGGTTACGACTGGTGTCAGGAAATAACCGAAGCTTCACTAATCAAAAATTCCGCCCATGAGAACTGGCTCTGAATCGTAGTGGTTAATGCAATTCAGCCTGAGAATATTGCGCTTAGAGTAACGTCATTTTTAATTACAAAAATTGATATAAACTTTGGTTGTCCGAAAAATAATCGGGTTAGGGCTTCTAATGGGCTAAAAAAGTGAAACCTATTTTGCTGCCTTCTTTCTTCGGATCTCGCCTTTGCAATCAGTGGTTTTTACGAAGACATGAATGATCCTGAAAAGTACACCAGAGATACTGACGAAGGAAATTTTTACTTAATGGTTAGGAAGTTACGGATTTTCGAATCAACTAGTTCAGGCAGAACAAAAACGAATTATTAAAATAGAATTGAAACAATTCATTCTGATTATATGTCAGTGTTGCTACTGCACCAGCAGCCTGGCTCTGGCTTGTGCCAGGATCCTGAAATCTAGCCCTAAGGGTTGAGTGACAATCAAGTTTGTTTACGAAGATATTCCCTAAGCTTTTCATATGTAACTGTACAATGGACCCTTAATACTATTTGAATTGGTGATCTACCGGCCAGTAAAATGTGAGTAAGTTCATGAGTTATATATTAGAATTAATTAGTGTTATTAGTTAATGCCAGTTATATCAGAGACGAGCTCATTGAAATCCTGGGCTTTGAATAAGTCCTGAGTCTTAGAGTCCATCATAGTCATGTTAACAGGCTTAGTGTCTTTACTAAATTCATCACTCATATACTTCGTGAAATATTTTCTTTTGGTCGAACGTTTGTTTTGAGTAGAAGCCTTCGTCTTTGAGAACTCCTCATTAGTCTCCTTCTTTGGGTAGGTCTTCTTGGCAAGGATGGCATTGACCTTAGAAGTAGCAGAGGAGGCATTGATTGACTTTTCATCTGAGGTATCAGTATCAGATTCAATCTCAGCTTCTATTGTTCCAAAAGTATGATTCTTTCCGATGACTTGAACATTCTTGACCAGAACATTCATTTCTTCAGTGTTTTCTGATGTGATTGGTACTTCTTGATTCTTGAGAAGTGCTTCACATTGGAGAGCTAATTCTTCTGGGCAACAGCAGTATCCAGCTTTTCTGAGATCAGCAATATTAATCTTTACAATATGGGTTGATTCGGATCGGGAAGTTGGGATGTCCTGATTTTGTTGTTCAATCTGTTCTTTCTTCTTCTGAAGACCGGCAATGTAGAGCTCTCTCATCTCATTCATGATCTTGGTTGGGATGACTCTCTTAAAAGCACTATTTGGAAGAGTCAAGTCGTATAATTTCTCAATCTGTTGGTCGATTTTGATGATTTGAGTTGAAGTGAATTTCATTTTGGTTGTTTGATATAAATTATTTATACTTCTTCATTCCTTAATTTTATATAGGGGTTTTGGGGTTTTGGGGTTTTGGGGTTTTGGGGTTTTGGGGTTTTGGGGTTTTGGGG